GCGTGTTCCCGCTCTGGTGGCACAATGCCCGCCCCAACCTTGGCATACCAATGGCAGCGCGGACACCTCGCATCCCCCGGCACCAGGCACCGCGCCACCACCGCACCGCGACCGGTCGGCCGGCCTCACCACAGGAGCTGCCTGCAACTCCGCCCGTCCGCTCTCCGGCGATGTTCAGCCTTGCAGGAGGCCGCCGCCCGGATCGAGACGCGCGATGTGCCACAGGATGGCGACGGACTCGAAGACGCAGCCCTCCTCTGTCTGCAGCGCGGGGTAGCGGCCGCACTGACCAAAATTACAGCGGCACCTCCTCCATCCCGTTCTCGCGGCCAAACCATCACGGCTTGAGCGCCACTGGCATGTTGGCGAGGGCCACCGCCACCAGAACACTCGTGCGTGCACGCGTCCTCAAAGGTTCACACCGCTTCACAGCGTGAGCGACACGGTGTGTGTGTGTGTGTGTGTGTGTTAGCTCCTACACATGCAGAGGACATGCACGGCAAAAAAACAAGCCAATAAGAAAAAAAGAGCTTCAAGATGCAATGAGACGGCAAATCAACACGAATCACAGCCAGGCGGAGGAACAGAAATGCATTGGAATGACAAACACGGAGCGCGAGGAATACGCACAGTCGACAAAAAAACAAAAAAACAAAAAAAAACACAAACCCCGTAAAGTGAAGCCGAAGCGTGGACACGTCCACCGAGCAGTGGAGACGCGCAGCAGCAGCAATTGGGACGACCAGCACACACACATATGCTCTCCTCCTTCCCTTTGAGCACAGTCAAAGAAAGAATGATATCTCCCACAAAAAACAAACAGAAAAACAATATAAAACAAAAATCAGTTCCATGTCTTCCGCAGGAATGGTGGCAGTACAAAGCGGAAGTTGTAGTTGCTTTACAAAAGGAGCGTCGAGGCGCAGTTAATGTGTGTGGGTATGTTGCATTATGACCGTGTTATACATCTTGACTGCGTGGTTCCACAGTCCACGGATACATACATATATATATACACATATATGCACATTATTGTCCCACCACATATTTTTAGTGCCCAGTCGCTGCTGCTGCTCAGAGAGGCGTCATCACCACGGCGGCGGCCACGGCGAGAATCGCAAGGGAACTGAGACCAACAGCCGCAACTGAAGTGTCTGCATGGTTTGGATCCTTCACCAGTGGCAGGGCAACGACTGGTATTGGAAGGGCCCAGGTGTTACGGAAGGCTGTGCATACATCGGTGTATTTGGGGCACCTGATGCTCCCCCCGCTCCATTTGCCCCCTGACGGCGCAACCGTCTCGCCCTCATTGCAGTCGTGCCACGTGTCGTCGCCAAGGAACTGCACCCTCAGCTTACTCCCACTGCACTGCGTGTTCACGCACACATCGCCAATCTCTTGGTAATCATAAAGAAGCCCCTCCCCCTTTACGCACCGTGAGCTCGAGCCAATGAAGCTTCCAAGGAACTCATTAGGGTCACCGTTTAGACACTCATACGCCGCACGCTCAACAACAAACGGACAAAAATCCATATACTTCGATTCACCTCTAAGTGTGGGGTCATCAAAGTACTGAAACTGGGGTGGAAGGGGCTTGTAGTGATACTTTAGGTCACACGTCCCCAGAGAAAGACGATCATACGTGCAGAGCAGTCCTTGTGTATTCGACGGCTGTTTACAGAACAACTCAGGATAGTCGGTGTGGCCGTTGGTGAAGCACCTATTTTCCAGCAGCCCGCAACCAGAGTTGTTGCCCCACCGCAACGACTCCGCCATGTCGTAGTTAGCCTTGTACACACCCATGTCCTCAAATGCAGCAAGCGTGAATGCCGAGTAATAAGCGATCCGGCTCCCAGGACTCATCAACTCGTCCCGTGCACTGAGTTCCTCCCAGTGCTGCAGACTAGCTCCTCCCCCACCCCCGTCCTCCAGCTCCATGCCCTCAAGTGTGGGGCAGTTGTGGTACTTCCTCGCCAGCTCCTTCACCTTCGGTGAGGAAATTACCCACACATATTCTTTCCCTCGCACATTAGGGATCTGGGAGACCATCTTGAACCACCAAAAACGATCGCTCAAAAAACCAAGAGCGTGCCCAATCTCGTGCACTGCAGTACCAACGTCTGCATGAGTGGCCTTTATGTACTTGGGGTTGAAGTTCACGACGCCAGCGTATGGACGTCCGTCCTCCAAAGTGGCGCAGTAAGACGCCCATGCAACGCTCCCCTCACTCACAAGAGTGTCGACGTAAAGGACCATGTCGGCGCCGCTCACGCCGATCGTGTGGTGCCAGGCAGGGATGGTGAAATCGCTGCACGCCCCTATACCATCATTTGGTATGGGGATGGGACCCCTCACAGGCCTCACAGACAGACGATCGGTGTGCATCTTAATTGCACTCGGGAGGAGTTGCTTCAAAACAATGTCCTTCTTCGCCTCCGTCAACACCATGTCCTCTGTGCATTCCTGCCAGTCGCCATCGACGAGACGCAAAACCCTCCCTGGGAGGCAGTGCTTCCACTGATCGTCCATATCCTTCGCAGACACTTTGATGCGGATCGGGGCCCACTCACTCCCCACGCCTTGTGCGGCGACGGTGTACGCCTGCATCTCGCCCTGTCCTCTGCGCGGCACGTCACGCACCACCGCAGTCGCCGGCGGCCACCTCCCCATCATCTCGTCAAACCCGCAGCGGTGCTTCCGGGTGGAATCGATAGCGAGGCACCCAGCGGCGCAACACACCAACAACAGCAAAAACACCGCCAGTGATAGAAACGGCATGCTGCGGGGTGGCTGGCACATCGCCCGAAGAAACTGCCTGTGTTGCTTCCGTTTGAACATCAGCAGCGGCATTATTGGTGGTGGCAGTAGTAGCAGTAGTAGTGGTGGCGCAGACCTTTTCCGCGGGACAAAAAACAAAAAAGGAATACAACGATAGTCAACGCCGGCGTCCACAGTTGGGCACCCCGCAAAAAAACAGCGACAATCCAAAACTGAGGCCGCACCGACAAACGCGTGGACTGCACGATCGCACACTCGCCGCTGCCCGAAGAAACACCCACACGCACCCGCACCCGCACGGAGAGTCCGCAGTGTGGGACGCACCCGCATAAATCAAAAATAATAATAAACAAATTCATAACCACCTCGCTTACCGTCTCCCCCGCCCAGCCCCTTCAAACCCCGCCAGCAGCAACACGCAGTGCGCATGCCGGCGGGACCTCCCATCACGGCCCCCACCTCCCTCAGCGCACTAAAGCAGGAGTGCGGCGCAACGTCAAAATTGAAAAAAAAACAATAAAAACAATACAAAATAAACGGTAGCACGCAGCACCACCACAAGAAGACACACGCAGCAGATGCCTTCCCTCTGCGGCCACAAAAAACAAACTCTCGCAGCGAGACCACCGCCACCAACAAACCC